CAGCATATACTAGGAATCAAGTACTGGAATTGGAAAAAGAATTTCATTTCAACAAGTATTTGACTCGAAAGAGGCGTATCGAAATAGCTCATTCGCTGATGCTAACCGAACGACAGGTTAATTGAATCATTTTATTTTAAATTTTAGATTCATTCATACTTTTAGTTTTCATTTCAAAATTTTAATTGTTTAAAAAACCAGAACTAGTTCAAGTTTTAAAGATGTTTTCTCGTTGTTTTGTTGATTTCTGTAAACAACAGATTTCCCTAAGTCGTCTATGAATTTCAATTAAGTAAAAATTGATCTGAAATTAATTGAAGTAATATAAATCCATGCAAATCATCAAAATTTTCTGTAATTTCTTTCACTTCAAGTATCTACAAATTGTTTTTGATAATGAAGAAAAAATTGATGGGACAAATAGTTGTAAAATAACACCTTAGCGCATATGTTACGATTTTCCATGATGTGATAAAATAGGAGCAAAAGAAAGAGAATTTCTGAAAAGACAAATGATTTTAGGATTGATTTAGGAAATGTTTGTTGTCAAGATCCTCTCAAAAAGATATCCTTTTCTCAAAAACAAATTTCAATTCTTAGAAAGATTGAAGCTGAGAGTGAGAAAGTAATGAATAGATTATTATTACTTTAGCTTTTCCACAAGTTTAGCAAGTTTTGTATCCCACATTTTTGCGTTCCTTAAATGCTAATTATGCCATCACAAATAAATCTTTATTTTAATACCTGGCATGCAGCCTGATTCTAATCATTATTGAATTCTCCTACAATCTGAAATATTTTTAAATGAAACTATTTGGTCCTTACATTCATGATAATAATTGCGTTAATATCGATGATAATTGCACTCTCTGTTATCAACTGTTTGTTTTCGTTCTTTTCCATCCAAGAGATAATTTTGAATTTCTCTCTCTCTCTGTTTCTCTACAATAAGACTAATTCAGGCACTTCTTATTTCAGGTCAAAATTTGGTTCCAGAATCGTCGTATGAAGCACAAGAAGGAGAACAAAGATAAGCCGGCGCCCACTGTACCATTCCCGGCTGGCGCGCTTTCCTTCCATCATTTGGCTAGTTTCAATCCGCGTAATTTCCTTCTCACTAATAATTATACATGAATGTATCGTCGTGAATGTAACACCGTTAAGCTTAAAGCCATGGATTACTATAAATTACTAACCGGGCTCATAGCCAGATCTGAATTTGGAAGGCTTACATTTCATTATTACATTTAAATAGATTTTGAAATATGAGTTTTGAATTCAGAAAAATTTTCATATAAGAATTGATTCTTTGTGCTTGAGGTTTAATAACATGTGCAATGGTATCATTTAATTGTGGTATCGTAAGTCTGTATCATATAGCTATTATTAAAGAAGACATGAATGATCAGATTGATCATTTTCCCAATTTAGAAACAAAATTTAAACTAGAAATTAAACTTGAATTTTTTTTCAATCATTTTTATATATCTGTGACAGTCATTGTACTGAATCTTTTTTACTTTGGGTAATATCTCCCATAGCTGACTACAATAGCAGGTTTTATTAAGATTATTAAAAGACTAATTTAAAAATGAAAATTTTCAAGTGGAAAGAAAGTTGCAAATCGTTGAGAAAATTCTATTTTTTAAATTAGTAGATGGGATGAATCAACCATAAATTACACAAAATTATTTGTAAATTTTAAATTTCAACCAGGAAAAATTTACAAATTTTTTAACAATGTATTTTTGAAAAGAGAAAAATAAAAGGCGAAGATTATGATACACTTTGTTGTACTAATTTGTGCCGAAGTTACGATCATTCCTAATACCGGTTTCCTCACACAAAGTTTCTCTCAAAATGGTAAAAACTTTACTAAACTGCAAAAAAAAAGCACATTTGTAGTGAAAAGTGCAGAAAATTTACTTCGAGATTTAAGAATGTTAGGAAAGACGACATTTTTGGCGCAAATTGGTTCGATCAGATACTTCCTTCTTTTTTCCCTTCTTGTGTGTATGTGTATGTGTGCGTATGTGTATGTGTGTGTGTGTATGTGTGTATGTGTGTTTATGTGTGCGTGTGTGTGTGTGTATGTGTGTGCATGTATTGTATGCATTTGTGCACTTCTGCATCATTAGTAAATTTAAGCCTTCGAAGCAGTATGTTTGCATTAGGATGACACCTGAACTGGTTGTTAACTGGTTAATTTCCCGGGTTGTGTATAGAATAAAATAATTGAAGTATATAACTATGATAGGGTAAAATAAACGTACAGTTAAGTACAATAGGCGCAAACCTTCTTGGCTTAGCTTTACCTGTCTATACAAGCAAAACGAAAAAGATACTTATGTTATGATTCACTTTGAGCAACTTGTAAAATATTCAAAAAATTATTTCATAAGTGGGTAGATGAATGAATGAATAAACTTAATTACTTAATTAGTCAAATCAATATCCATTCGAAGGATCGGAATTTAAACAGGGTAATTTGTACTCTTTCGTTTATACAAGGTATGAATTGTATTTCTCGAATCCCGCTCTCTTATTGTAGCGGCTGTTATTTGTCGTCTGTTTGTCATTTTGTACAAGGTATGTATACAAACAAGGTATTCTGATTTTTTTTTTTTTTTTTTTTGTTCATTTTTTACTTTAATTAGATGAACTAAATTGTATTGTTGTTGTATATGTTATTGACTATGTTAATCACTGTTCATTAAATAATCCACAGGGTTTATTTGTAGGGTTCCTAATCATTCATCTCCCTTATTGTTGTCGCATTATTTCATTGATTGATACTATTTGTTTGAAAGTTAAGATATCATAGCAGTTCGATTTTCAATGTCTTTCAAACAATCGAGGGTTCATTTTAAAGATTTGAATCAATTTAAACAGTCAAATTTTTGTTTTACATCTTTCCCTTATACAGAACAGGACAGGTCAGAAATTTCGGGTTAATGGTAATTTTTGTAAAAAAAAAACACATTTTAATAAATTTTGTTCAACTCTTTTATTTGTGGTAAATTATCGAAGTTTTGGATCAAATAAGAGATAAATTATGTATCAGTATGTAAATTTGAGGCTGAAATTATTTAGTCATGAAAATCCAGTGATGCAACCTTAGTTGACACTGAAAGAACAATGAGGAACGCTACTTGTGTCCCATTGTTAACTTGTCGACATATTATTAACCAAAAATTTCCACTTGCATTTCAAGAATAATTTCGCCTTCAATTACTTCTGTTGGATCAAAAGAATATATATTTTATAATGAAATGTTGGTAAAATTCTCGCGTTGTCTCTTTTTTCTTTTTAAGCAAGAAAATATTTTATATGAATATCAGTTTGCTTAATTAACGAGTACTTGTTTTTCATGTAGATGCTTTATATGTCAATTATCTTCTTTTTCCTTGCTCTTATTTTGTCTTGTACTTGTTCCCTCTTGATCGATTTAAACTAAAATCTACTTTTAAATCTTCCATAGAACTTCTGAACCAATTTTGGGCTGACTTAGAAATATTTCATAAGTATTTGATTTAATGATCTGAGGAAGGTTGTAGAATTATTTCATACTTGATCATTTCGAATTATGCAAATTATTACCTTTTGTTAGATATTGACCTGATCAATTTTCGATTAATGCCTATCAGTTAGGATTGTTAAAACTGTCAATGTGACATTTTTGAAAATTCAATCAAAAAGAAAGAAATTAGGAACAAAGTCATAATGGACTATTCTGTGAAGATCCTGGTTAACAATTTCCCATTTCAAAGATATACATGACTCGAAGGTTATTGATTACAAGAATTACCGGGAATTCCAGTGAAACAAAAGTAGATTATAGTTTGTCTAACTTCCTCATAACATTGTTGATTTTTGCTTATATATTTGGAATGACAAAAATTGCTGCTTTTTTTCTTGTTACAAAATGAACTTGTTTTGCTTTAACTTCTTCGTATGCAACGGGAAAAAAATAAAATAAACAACAGGAAATATAATATTTTGCTCTCCCTGTACTTTAAGCGAGAATTTTTCTCTCTCTCTCTCTCTCTCTTGAATATTTAAAATATGTATAGAAAGAAGCTTATAGATGGGGGAGTAAATGTTATGAAATCGATGATAGCCACTTCTTTTTTCTGTGTCAAATCGATATCAGGACATCTCAAAAAATGATCATTGTCATCATCATTAAAGTCATCCGTTGATTTTCTCGGGATACTGTACCAGCTGGTGAGAGCCAGTTGTAAGATAGAAATGGGCGTAACCACTAACTAGATAATGGATTATGCTTCTAAATAAATTGCAGATGTCCCATATCATAAACAATGAATAGTACGAATTAAAAAAGTACAGGATAAAAGTTTTGTCCATCACTACTATGGTTAATTTTGGCCATCTGATCTTGTGTGCAAATTCCGCAAAATCCAAAACAAAGGAATCCGGAAATACTTGAAGTGCTGATAACCTGACAGCAATGGGTTTAAGGTTGGCCATATCTTCATCTGATGGAAATCCAACTCATACCGAATATAGTGGAACTAGCTTTTAAAATTATAACCAAAGGGATTAAAGATCGTAAGATATGATTATCTTTTCCACATTAAAAGTAAAACTAATTCATGACCAGAAACTATTAATTGCGACAACTTTTCCGCAGAGTAAAGCTTTGATAAGTTCTTTTTCAGCAGGAATATTTCTTAGAAAAGTGGAAAATTAGTTAGCTTCAAGAGAAAAAGTAACTTGCCTTTGTTTTCCAATACAGAAAGTTTGGAAGAAAGTTAATGCCGCAAGACATGAAACTTAGAAGGAACATCATTAATACTAACAATAATTCTTCGGTTCATTCTGTTTCGGAAACGCTAACGATTAAAAAATGGTGGTCTTTACTACCTCATAATTCTTATTTCTGAATTATTAAACTGAATATATTTCCCTTGAAATGTTGTTATCAGCCTTTCCTTGGTATAAAATTTCGTTGCGGTGAACAAATTGCATTAACTTTTCTCAATTTTATTCTGCACAACTGATTATTTAATAAAGTTCAAAAATTGATGTCCTGGAAATACTGGGAAGTTCGGTATATGCAGTGCAACTTGCACATACTTGCATATATCTAAAACTTTTTTCCCTTATTGTAAGGGGAAAAATAGTTATGAAAATTGCTGCTGACAGATCGGCGACATAATTTCCCTACAACATTAATTCTGCAATCCTTTCTAGAGATGATTTTTTCTAAATCCAGAAACAGCTCGTTCTAACCTGACTAAAAGTTACAGTTACTAATGCAAATACATCACAAGTTAAAAAAAAAAATAATTTACAGAAAGTGGAAAAAAATATTGAAAGACCGAAATACGAAACCCTTCAGCAAATAAAAGCTGAAACCAATAAAGGATGGATTTCTAAAATATAAGGCATTACAGCATATCAAGCGTGTTTTCCAACCAACAGATATCAACAACGGTCGTTTTCTTCAGCAGGTTATCATACGCTATTTTCCTGGAAGAAAAAAAATTTGGTTTTCAATTCCAAAGCAATATCTTGCAGAAGAAATAGTGTCCTTGAAAATAAATAAAAGTGAATAAAAATCTGATTCAACTCCAGGTATTTACATGTATATAATGTGATGGAATAATGAAGTGCTTTTTTTTCAATAGATGTATATAATGAATACTTTTTTGAGATTTGATCACTTTTACAAATTTTTATACCTGTCAGGAACTACAATATGAGTAACAGCGCTGCTTTGCTTTGTACTCAAATCAGCACCGTGCATTTGCAGTAAGATTTGAGCGTACATTTTTTGGATTTTCGTCAAGTCGTCATGTAAATAAAACGTTTGGCCACAAAACCGATTAAACTTTTCATCCATAAATAACTGCTTTCTCAGTGTTTCCTCAGCAGCTAATGGTTTCTTCCGCTAAAAATCTCGAAATACATAAAGTCATTTTTGTTTCGAATGCAAAGCTGCATGGAATAGAGTAGTGAAACCAACAAATCCATGCTTGAGAATATGTCTGAAAAAGTAACTTACCTTAGGTACTTTTATGCTGTCCAGCAAAACACTGACACTTGCAATTGTATATGCAGTAGAGCTCGTCGGCACAGTGGAATTTTCCAATGTTCCATCATTTCCAAATAACGTATAAAGACTATCGTCAACAACATGAATAGCTTCTTTTCTCGTTCTACAATAACGAATTTAAAATGGCAGGTATAAAGTTTTTTAGCTTTTACTGTTATTGCAGGCAACACAATGAAATGTGACAGAACAGAGACGAACATCAGCTCCCCTCATTTTGACTGAATATATTACAAAAGTATGCCAAACGAGACTGATACACGAATAATAGAACAATGAAGATTCATTTTCCACACAAAGATTATTAAACTAAAGTTAAACAATGAAATAAATAAGACTAAAGTTAGTGTAGGTTAAACAATGTAGGAGAAAACGAACATTTCTGAGAAATAAAGATAAGGGAAACTGAAACTTGACAAGCTATGTATATGCACAATAATAACCTCTAGCAGTAAGTGATGAAGAATGTAATCATCCTAAAATTTCCTTGTCAAAAATTCTCTTCCAAATTTAAATAAAATATTGCTTTGCAAATTAAAAAGCTTACACAGGTAAGATTTTGCTCACATTTTTGCATGCTATAAGCCAGTCTGCGCTGACCACATTATATTTATTACTTTTAATAATCGATTTTGACTTCACATGTTTGGGCTCACCGGTCACAACAAAAAGTGTTTTTGGACCTGAATACGATTCAACAGAAAATAACTGCTTTTTAATAATTCATAAATAAAGCCGTAAAATAAAAAATACAAGTTAAGAATGTAGTCGGAGTAAAACAATAAATAAAACCTGGATTAGCAACGTGAATTCCACCAAACGAAATAACGATCTCTTGCAGTTCCTGCGTGTTTACATCAGAGGTACCTCTTAAGATACAAATTTGTTTTCCTTTCAGATCTTGATTTATTTCTTCGATGCGTGCTTTCTTAGTTTGATATTCCTCAAGTACATGTACAACTGTCGTTCGTTTTTTTAGATTTGTTACGCTTTGCGCATTTTTTATACTATCTAGACGTAAGTTCTGAAAAAAGAAGGCATTTCTACAGATCATGTCGATGATTATAACTAATATATTTCTAACAAAATTTCTAAGCAACAAAAAAGATGACACGCACCTTATCAAAGTCTAAAAATGCTTGGTACTGATCGATGTCTTTTACATATTTGTCATCTCGATAAGTCTTTAGAGTCGGAGCATACAGTCGGTCATTTCTTAATCCTTTAGCTCGAATCTAGTATAAATTTTGAAGGTTAAATGAAAAACCCGATCAAGTGAAATAGCTTGAAAAACCTTTGATTGTTTAATTTTTATGCTTTAAAAAATACCTCAACAACTTGCATGTTATTCTGATTTACGAAATGACTTGGTAAATCGCTTGATATGTAATCTTGATGAATCCAGCTTGGGATCCTGTCACTTTTGAAGAATCCGTGATCTCGCGTCAAACGATTTTTAAGAAATGTACGTGTCGTGTCGTCCAATCCTGTTCCTACTTTGCCGACGATAAAGAATTTATTATCTAAAGAGCCAAATATATGAAACCATACAATCCCGCCGCAGAATTACAGTTATAAATGCAGGGACAACTGAATCGAAAATTTAGATGATTCACTACTGATAAATACTAAAGATAAATATGTCGTGTTAAGTAGGAATAAAATGACATCACCTCTAAGCGTAGCCAAACAATAATTACTGATTTTATCATTCCTGCCAAGATCGACACCAACAATTGCAAGATCCAATGTTTCATTACCCAGATGGAATGGTTTTATCTAAAGCGTACATAAGAAGTTACCATCCAGAAAAAGGAATGCATAACTCTGCAGATGAAAATACTTTTAAAAAAACTGCACACATAAATGGTGCACAAGAGTATATACTTTTGAACAAATAAATACCTTAAACCAACCATTTGCCATCTGGCGCATACCCGTTTTATACACCGAATCCATTTTCTTCGCCACAACGCCTTCTTGACCACTTATTACAGCTTCCTGGTATAGTGAAGCAAATTCTTCTCTACAAAAGTGAATATGGAATAAACCAATACAGCTACCACCCAAAACTTTTAAAAACAAAAACCTATCACCTATACCTACCGACCAGGCATAACAGATTTGCTTCTTAAGAAATTTTTTAAGCTGTGCAATCTATTTTATTAAAGCCTCAGCTTTCTTTAAATATATGTTTACAATCTACCTCACTCTTATATTTGTCGATTTCATTGTTTCTTTTCTATATATTTTGATGACTTTATATTAAACTAGTCTATACTCGATGAGGAAAAAACCCACCTCGTTTTGACAATAGTGAAGTTTGACACAAATATTTTTGTCTTATCCTGCTTTTCCAAAACATTCCCACTTTGAAGAAGAGCAATTCTTTCGCTCAGCGGAATATCCATTAGTGATTTTCCGTTCAAAAATAAAATATCAAATACTGCAACACTTGGCTCTACTGCACCATCTGTTCTCAGAGCTTTCACATCATAAATACGACCATCTGATGCTTGTGCATTATGGCCGACTATAAGAGTAACTTTTTACATAGAAATTTTAACGGTTATAAATTAAAAAATTAAAAAAAAACTGACGTGTCGAATAATCTATACAGTAGAATACGCAGCCTTTGATTAGAAATTACAGTACTGCCGACTACCCACTATTATGAGCGACACGATCTGAGATATTTTGGGGAATTGTATTCCATATTATAGTACATTGAGCCAAAATAGCAGGGCATTGGAAAGCTCATCCTGAAGTTTATGCAGGAAAATGATGCAAAATATTTGTTTTATCATTAAATGACCAATGACCAACTAACCGAATACTTCGTCAATAGTATCCCAAAGCAATAATTCAGTATCCAGTATGCAGCTTTCAAGCGAAGGCGCAAAATATGGATTGATCCTATGATCCAGCACCGGTGCTATGGAATTAGTAAAGTCATTTTGAACCCGTGAGTAATAACGCATTTCGCAACTCGGCCCTCTATGCAGCAAGAAGTGTTCACCGTCATATTTCAATTCCACATAAAATTCTTGGCCACAAAAACGAACCAACTCAAATTTATATTAGATTACCTGCTGAACTAGCACAAAATCATTTACTTCAACAAATGGATTTACTCATAAGTAAAAGCTAGAAATTTTCAAATCTTCAACATTATACAAAACAGCTTTATCATCCAGAACAACTATGAATTAATATTAGGACTGAAGTAATTACCTTGTCGTAAACATCTCCACTGCCATGTCTGATTCTTGATAATAACATTGGTTCAAAACGGCGGAAAAGCATGCTCGAGTTGTCTGTCATTTTACCTTCTACAATAAGATCACATATTTTCCGCAAGCTGACGCCAGACTGATATAATGCAGCTCCATTGGGATGTATCCAGCTTACTAAATTTGCGGATGTTACCTTTAAGGAGCGCTGAAATGCATTTTCTTAGTAAAGAAGTAATGCATTACTTATTTTTCTAGCAACATCTTATCATCATTCCGTACATAATATTTTTAGCAAAACAGCTCGTCAAGAAAATGCAGAATTATTTTTGAGTCAGTCACAATATCAAGATTGTGCAGATAATCAAACAGATTTCTCTACTGATTTTTTTTTCACGTTTGTAATTGGATGAGGATTAGACTAAGATCATGAAAATGCATGCACTCACAACATATAACCTACTTCAATTTTACGAACCAATACTTGCAAAAGCCAATAGACTTCGCGTATTGTTGCGCAGGCTTTTAAAAGTTTCTCTAGTTCTGCGCTACCTGCAAACATGCAAACTATGAATTTACGACAGTAAAGTGAAGAACAATTTCGAACTTATTTCATAATCAAACCTCTTTAACTAAAACCAACGTATATAAGAGGAAAATATCATTGTAAAGATGAATACTTACTTATTTCTTGTTCTGTTATTTTGCACAGCGAATCGTTTACATCAAAAAGAGACAGCTCACGTTTAGTAACAGCTGGATTTCGCATCGAAATTTCTTCTGCCAGTTTCAAAATCGACTGGTCTGCACTCTGAAAATAATTTTATGGCTGATTTCTTAAAGACTTTTAGAAAGTTTCATTTTCACTTGGAACACCTTTTGCATTATTACAACAATAACAGATTAAATGATTTTTATTACCGATTCTAATAGCTGGACTGAATGATAACCAAATAAATGAACAATATTGCCAGATCAGCTTTAGCACACTTAAAGAATTCTGCTTCATCAGGAACGATGCACCAAGAACACAGAACCTAATGGTGCTATAGTTTATTTTGGGATATAATCTGTGATGCAATTATATGATGCAGCTCATCCTTTTAACACAGTATTCTTATGTGTAGCACTTTTTCAAAAAGAAAACCAACAGTACGACATAAACAAATATATTTACCTTGGAATCTATCTGTAACAATTCCTTTTTCGTCTTTGGGGGAAGACACAATACTTGGCATACTTTCGATATAATTCTTTTCTGGAAAATTCACTGGTGCAAATGAAACGTACCAAACGAAAAAGGCATGGTTGCAAACACTGACTTTTACACAGCATATTCCAACTTATTTCTAGAAACTACGCTTAAAAACTGTATACAGTATGAACCATGAATCCTTCCATAAATTTTATATAAACTTACCGATCTCATGCGAAATTTCCGTCGATCCAATGAATTGGCCATAATACGTAGGACCGGGTAAAAACTAACAGCTCCATTTGTAAATTTAGAAGCATCTGCCGTCCATTTTGTCACTAATGCTTTCAGTACTCGTTCCTTGCCGAACTTATTTTTGAAATGAATTTGCTGTATACGGTCTAAGTATTTGCATAATGTTGAGTATTTGAAATTTCGAGAAATTTCTTCTTCCAAACTGCTTGCCGCTGCAGTTTCCACTTCTTGTTCATCTTCTTTTCCGGAGCTGACATCACTGTTTTCTACCGCTTCTTCACCAGTTTCATCACTACCGGACATTTATCAACCAATGCTTCTAATTAATTTATTACACTTAAATTTCGGACAAAAACATTAAACGAGATCATCGACACATCCTCAAAAAACACGTTAAAAGAACGCTGTTAAAAAAATGATAAATAAGACACATTCGCAAAGAAAGTTAAATATTTTCCCAAGCATATATAATATGAAAGTAAACAATTGTGAGAATATGATAGGTGCCAAATATCAACCCATCAGGAACAACACATGATCAGGTGCAACTGCGACATCTAATGGCTTCTTTAATATATCGACTTGAAATGGAAAATGTTGGTTTCTGTCATGTGAAAGACCCAAATGAGAGAACCTGTTAAGACCCCAAGAAAACAGATTATCCATTCTCGAAATAGCAAACATCGAAGAATTACCAGCGAAAACTTTCTTGACTTTACCCGAATCATTAGGACCACCACTGAAAAGATTACTTTCCAGGAGCGCCGGTCGTCGTAATGATGTAACATTGGGTCCCATACCGAGGATTCCGAAACCCCAAACATAAACTTGATCATTGCTACTTAATGCTATACAAGAAGTTGCCGTAGAATCTGCTGCTGCAATTTTTCCCGTGGAAAGACGAATTTCATGAGGGTAACCACTTTGAATGTCCCTGACAAATGGATACATTTGTTCGTATTCGTTCTGTCCCCACATAAATAATTCACCGCTCTTTGTCACCGCCATCAAAGTATCCGTGCTCCCTTTTAAAGTAGCTACCTTCATTCCCTTCAAATCACCTTCAACTGGTAAACAACGCCAATCACAACCGCATATTCCGCGTCCCAATTGCCCATCTGTACCTAATCCGAACGAAAACACCTCACCAGAATCCAGAACGATGAATGATGTATCCAGTGTACAATGTATTTGAGCAATTTCTGAATCCGAAGGAACCGTAATTTTTTGGAATGGCTTATTTTCTAGTCTCACAAAGGGCACATTTTCTGGATCTTGTCCACACTGTCCATGAGCATTGTCACCAAATGCATAAACTGCTTTTTTGGATGCAACCAGAAAATGTCGTCGACCAGCTGCAACATCTATTATGGTACCAAACTGCTCTTCCTTGAAATTAATCTTCAAGCAAACACCTTCACTCCAATAATTGCTATATTCTAAATCGTTGCTAAAAATATCAACACCACCACCATAAAGTTTCTGCTCCGATGCCAAAACAGAGAAGCCAAACCCGGCTGCAATATGACGAATTTTACGAGAATTAAAGTACAGGATCTGTCGGGGCTTCTTGAATTCTTTCTGTCCGGTTTCACGTAGTACCCTCGTAAAAAGGCTCCCTGTTTTCCCGAAACCACAACCATACACAAAGTTGCCTTTTTTTAGCCTTCAGCTTAGCAACTGCTATAGCTCCCTGAGCTGTTGCCGATTTCATTATCCTGAAGTCAAATTCATAACTAGTTCAAACAAGCAAATTTACTACCAAATATACAGATAATACGATAAATTACCAAGAATGAGAGTCTTTTTGTTATTTTTAAACAACCTTTGTCAACTTTCGAAGGAAGAAAGTTGAGCAGATGAGTCTGATAAAATTTATGAAAAACAAGAAAATTGACGACAAGGAATACAAAAAAGTACGACACGTATGGAAGGAATGTTATAAATCACAAAAGCCATAAATCGTTCTTGAGTACTGTCTAAATTTTAAAGCTTAATATGTAATGAGCGTTACAAAAGCAAAAATTCAAATCCAGCTCATTACATCCTTCGGGTTATAAAAGTCCATTAAAAATTAGTGCATGGATTTAACATATACCGCGAAAAAATCGCGTTATAAAAGGAAACATTTAAGCACACGTGGTGGTGGTTGTTTGCTTAGTTGAGAAGGGAGTGGGAGGGGTAGGGAATCATTAAACAGCTGTTCGAGAAACAAGTCAACTTTTTGTTTAATTATGTATTTGTTCTTGCTGCTCACCTTTTCCTCCTATATTCTTCTTTTTATAGAACAAAATACAAAAAAAAAAAAAAAAAAAAAGGCGATATACGTATCGATGGTTTAGTACTGCAATGGAACAGTTTGAGGATGTTAGCGAACGTGAACAGCGTTTCCATCAATTCATCCGTCAACATATCGTAAGTCTATCGTTCTGTTAGTATTTTCATGAATACATTCATGTATTTATAGTTTTCTTTTTTTTTTCTTTCGTATCAAGGAATAAGTAGAACTGTTTATTGTACATCTGAAGAATTTGTTCTCCTTTTTTAATTCGATCTTTTAGTTGGAGTTTTGGAAGTTTGAATTTTGTGTGATATATCCACACAAAGCCTTCTTATTTCGTAACTGATATATGGTTATATAGCATAACAGAAAGTGTAGGGAAAATAAGTTGATTATGGTATAAGGATGTTCCAGTCATGGTTTGGTATTTAATGATCTATAGATAATTCTATAGATAATTCCAAGTGAATTGACATTATGTCGTAGTCAACAGTCCAAAATGATAGGAACTCCCTTTGTTCCGTAACCGATGTATGGATATATGGGATAGCAGAAGGCAGAAGAAAAATAAGTTGAGCAGAAACTTTTGTTGTTATCTATTGAGTTATATGTAATTTTCGTGGATTAATTTCATAAATGAGCAGAAATTATTCTTCCGTCTGAATTTTTTCATCCGTTTGCAACTTTTTATGATGCTTGATCTTTTCAGATTTGTATGTTATTGTTTATATGTTTATATCTAATTTCGTATTCGATCATTCGCCTGCTGAAAGAGCGAAGCGATAATGATGAATTATACGCTGGCGGCGAGGATTTCTTTGTTTTCCGTGTTTCGTAAGTCTAAAATTATTGTTTTGCAGATATGGGTACTTTCCCGTACTTTTCGAATATTGAACTAACATTGTTTAGCTTTCATTCTGCAAATAATCCCGTTATGTTTTTGTGTTTTCCAGTTTATGGATGTGTACATGGTCCTTGGCAGTATCGATGGGAGCTGCCACGCTATTGCCATTTTCAGTGATTGGATCTGAGATAATACAAGCCTATCCTGGCAGTTACTATTTCCAGTGGTTAAATTGGCCTCTGATTCACTCACTTTGGAATTATATTTTTGCTTTAAGCAACCTGTCGTTGTTTATACTTCTTCCATTTGCTTATTTTTTCATTGAATCTCAGGGATTCAAAGGCCATGGAAAGGTAATGTCTTTTCGCCTTTGTTTGCGGAGTTTGAAGTTTTCCCAGCTTTTTTCTGTTTGGAGAGTAATGAGATTGCCACAGTTCCTTTGTCATTCGTTATTCTCAGCACCATAGCTGATTTCATCCTGCACTGGAAAGATACGGTGCTAGCACACTGTTTAACTTAACCTCTATATAAATTCTCGGTAGTCTGGAACTTTATTAATCAAAATAGAAGTGTTTCCTCAGTGATCGGAGCTTCTAGGTTTGTAAGTCATATATTCCTCTGCATTTGGATAGACTTTAACCATTTCCAATTTAACAGAGCAGTTTGGTTAGTGAAATTGGTTACTGTCATCTGAATACTGTCTGTCGTTTTGAGGCGAAATGAATAGATGTCACCACAATGAGTATTAATGATTTTGATTCACTGACATGGCATGGTTTTGGAATTTCTTTCTTTTATCATTTCGGAATAGCATTCAAACAGTAAATCGATGATATTTTGATATGTTTTGTAGAAATTTTCAGGGCATTATGACTCGAGTATATGAAACTGTTGCTGTCTGTATACTTCTTATTATCGTTTTAATATGCTTGGCTGACGTGATATACTCTCTTTTTCTTGTATGTTTTATTTACTTTTAATTGTAATTCCGAAAGTTCAGGATATTTCCATCTACTCACTTGTTCATCTCCCATTTTTGCTTATCCTAAAATGGACATATGCAGAATTCAGTTTTGTTAAGCTTAAGTTTTTTCTTGATTCAGTTCCTAATTTGTTCAACTTCCTTCTTCGAATTTGACATTTTTGGCTTATTCCTGAGAAAATGAGAGCCTTCGTTCCCACATTCTGTAAAATTAAAAAGGTACATATGAAATGAAATCTTAGAAAAAGAAAATAGGTAGTTTATTTTCTTTGCATATATATATATATAAAATCTTCAGACAGAGAGCGCTTCGATTTCATTGTCTGTTCTCAATTTCACATCTGTCAATTTGCCATTTCTATATTCGTGTGTTTCCTTGCTTGGAGTACTCACGCTACTGATTACAACTCCCATAGGTATTTTTCTTTACGTTTTTCTAATCCTTCCAAATTCTTTCACTTAACAAAAAAATTTCATTAATTTTTGACAAATTCTACAGACTTTATGATGCATTTTGATAGCGCAATAATTACAAGAATTGGAACAGTGACTATTTATAATTCTAGGATTAGCAAGGATGTTTTCGGTAGTATCGAATCATCTGCTTGCAACAGAGCATCAAAAAATCATTGATCCATTAGAGGAAGCGGTTTTCCGACTGGAATACCAAACTCTTAAAAGACGATTGCGACGAAACAATCAAGGAGGGGATGTATCACTTCCAGACCCATTTCTGCCGCAGAAACCGCTTCGTGGCTATCAGGTTGTGCTGCAAACAGTGAAATATGTGTCTGCAATCGTTGTCTTGCTCCTTCTGACTGTAAGTTGTTCGAGGAATGCCTTTTATCAAGATAGCATACAGTAACTTTCATTCAATAACTTAGTCATAGTTTTATTCATTTCACGTAGTACTTGAGTTTTATCATGTAATTATTCGTCTTTTATAACTTGCTCAGTTTTTATATTTTTCTTAGTATATCTTTTATAAAATTTTAGACAATTACTGTGCTTATGGTTCTGATCAATACGCTGCAGTTGCTATTCGGATTTCGGGCATTGCCTGTATACGCGCAGTACATGGAAGTAAATTCACGTCATACATTGGGCATTTTTGGAGCTGTCGTTGAAGTTATCATAATTTGGTAAAGCATTAAAAAAACTGAAACTGAAGTTAAATAACTGAAATATTGTACAGGTCCATATAAGTTTTAACGATTCCCGTAAATATGCAGTCCATTTAATTATTTGACGACCAGTAAACGGTTGTTTAGGTACATAATGATTGCTGCAATGATCGGAGTTTATTCAGTACCACTTTTACGAAGAATCCGACCTCAGTTACATAAAACATCTATGACACGCGTTATTGCAAACTGCACAACTGTTTTGGTGCTTAGTTCTGCGCTTCCGGTACTTGCACGAACCCTTGGTTTGTTTCATCACTGTATTTCAGTATATATCATGATGCTTAGAATGTTGTTGACTCATCTCACTTGTCGCTTAAGCTGCAAAGCTGAACCTTCTTTTTTTTCAGGAATCACAACATTCGATCTGGTAGGAGCATACGGTAGTTTCATGTGGTTGTCCAATTTCACACTGGTTTGGACATATAACGTTGCGTTTGCCTTTGTGACAGTTTCTTGTTTGTTGAATCATTTCACTACTCCAGTCAGAAAAGAAATTATCCAGAGGTGTGAGCATTTATTATTTGTTACCATCTGTCTTTACAGGCCAATTCTACTTATTGATGAAATGAACAGGTTTTCAACTCTCAGGTTTTGAAATTTAAAGGATTTTCTTTCTCTGAATTCAGTGTTCACCCTTGGTAATCGTCTTTTTTGCCCTATTGGCATGCATTACGGCAATACAGGTTTTGCTGCGTCACATAACTATCGATATTATGCAACTAAACTAGTACTTAGTATTTTGCGGTTGGAGATCGCAATACATTATTATTTTCAGGATTCGCGATTTGTCTTACCGGATAAAAGCAATTGAAAGTGTTGAAAAAATGGATTAGTTTGTGTAGTGTATATATATTTTATTTGTAAACATTCAAAATATGACTTTCGAAAAATGATCTCACCGTAGAGCTTAAATGAACAAAGAAGGACAATTGTTGTTTTGTGTTTTTTAAATACACTGCTGGTTTCATCGCATAACTGTGCATATTTATATTTGTCATGCTGATGACTCAGTGGTTTGTATTGCCAACAATAAATTTGCTGGTGTTTCATTTTGATTTGAAATTTTGCAAAATTGGTTTAACAACCATCAATTTCTCTTCATTTCCTAGAAGAATGTTTCGTGTGAGGAAGAGAAGTATAAATCTGAGTACTAAGTTTCGCTTTTTTGGAACATGAGAACCTCTGAAGTTTTTTTTTTCGTTTTAAAGATAAGGAGAAGTTAGAGCGCCGGAATTTTTTTGACATGAATTCAGTTGCGTGAGATGATATATAATAATTGCTACGTTTCCATTTTATTAACTAATATCAGTAAACTGAGGCACGGTGCTACCATTAATGTGTTTTGACTGTGACTACTGTTTTATCAATTAATGCATTTTCTCATTAGAAGCATAAAAGTTGTATTGAAGACTGTATTTCA